GAAATCCTCGCATCGACTACAGTCCTGTCGGGCCGTGGCGGCAACTTGGTTGTCCGCGTTAGGGAACACTATGCTGTCAAGTACGGAAGGCATATTCACCTCCAGGAAGGCGAAAATATGCTCTTCGTCCGGCAGCTCACCAACGTGCCCCTTCCAACCGTCTACGCCCTGTTTCACGACGAGAAAACCGGCTGCAACTTCATCGTGCAGGAGTACATCCCTGGTCGAAAGCTGGACAGGGTCTGGGCCAGCCTCAGCCCCGAGGACAAGAGGGCCGTAGTGTCACAGCTCCGACGCGCCATGGACGAGCTACGCAGCATCCCCTCGCCCGGCTACTATGGCGGCATATGGAGACAACCCATACAAGACTGGTCGTTCGTGGATCCCGAGCTGCAGACATGCCCACACCGGGACACGGCGATTTCGGGGCCGCACGAATCCGAGGAAGACTGGGCCGAGGCCATGTGGCGGTGCCTCGACGTGAATGTCAAGAGTGACGAGAGGCGTAGGCTCCCCCTCAAGCGACGGCACTACAAGGCCATGTTCCAGGGCCACAAGCCGGTTTTTACCCACGCCGACCTCTCCCCAGGCAACATCAGGATCCGCGAAGACAACAGCGTGGTGATCATCGATTGGCAACGTTCAGGATGGTACCCGTCCTTCTGGGAGTATTGCAGCACTATGCTCCTTTATGACTATGAGGATGACTGGGGAGAATGGGCCTCTTGCATTCTCGATGAATACGTTCCCGAATTCGGCTGGATGCAACTTCATCGGGAGTGGATAATGTTTTGTTGAGGTAGACTTGGTTGTATTATTGGAATGTTGGCATTTGAGTCTTGTTTGTCTTTTTGGTACATTTCTTGACATTTTACTGTTTTGTTTGGTCTATTTACAAGCAAAGTGTGAAGAGAAACAACGGGAATGAAAAGTGAAAAAACTGAGCCACATAGAAGGGAAGTACCTACATACAAAGCCATCCATGGTGGGCTGAGAAAATGGGTACCGAGTGATAGCGAGCAGGGGAATCAGAACACAACAGGTTGGGAAAGTGTCAGTGATGGTTGAAAGGAACAGTCACCGGCTGAGACGATTGTATCAAGGCTCCAGGAAGTACATATGATGAATCCCGGCATTCAGACGCTAGCACAAGTTACGGTCCCAAGTCCATGATATTCCAATCTACCGGCCACCAAGTCCAGCTTCTCTCTATTTACAACCAACTTCACCACCCACCAACCCACTGACAACTCTCACTACGGCCAACCCTGACAGGGACAATCCCCGTGATCATATGTCCTCCCGGTACACAACCTCTCCGTTATCAGACGGCCCCAGGGGCTCCAAAACTCCGGCGTGGAAGAGGGCCTCAACGGCGTCGCTAGCCCAGTGCTGGCAGTGGCGAAGCGGCTCGTCTGGGAAGAGTCGCTTGTTGAGCTGGAACTGCTTTTTCGGCTGTGGAACACCCCGACACACCTCCTCGATTCTCTCCCGAAAGTTGTCGCGTGATACCCAGCCCAGCTGCTGGACGGCCTTCCCCGAGACGGAAAACAAGGGACAAATGACCGGTTTGACTTCAAGGTGCATTCCGGTTTGCAGGCTGCCCCTGGAGTGGAAGAGCTGGCCCCGGTTTTGTTGAGATGGTTCGACGGGGTTCGTGTTGACATCGGTCTCGACATAAATGCCGTGGTGGTCACCCCTGAGACCGAGGTAGAAACCCAAGAAAACTCGGTAATGCGTTTGTTCGGACGCCATATTGCTTTTCGGACCGGGAGGCTGGAGGTTGACAATGTTTGGTGATGTTGGCGGGATTCTGGTAGTTGTGTGGTGCTTGGATGAAGCCCATCTTCTCGACATCTGGTTCTGCATCCGGCTTAAATAGTGAAAGATGATAATGCTAGTCGAACAAGAGAAGGCCCTGGGGAAATGTAGACAAAGGAATCAATTGTGCGGCTGAACATCATGGAACATGCAGCAAAGCCCCCAGGGGACGGCAAGCGAGCAGCTCAAGCAGCTTTACAAAGGGCGGATAACAAAGAACGGCAGTAGTGTCTGGCCAGAACCCACCCCATACGACCTGGACTCCTTCATTGCGGATCACTCTGAGACTGAGGCCAAAACTGACTGCAAGTTGATGCTTGTCCACAGGCTGCCAGGCGTCATGGGACTCGCCATTGAGATGGTCAGGCCCAACGGCAATCAATGGCGGCAGCCACTTGCTTTGTCAAGCGGACGCCGAAGTGGGAAGAAGGTGGCCGCTTGCCGCGGGGACAAAAGAACAGATACTTAGTACAGTCAAGCCAACATTGTTGTTGTGAAGATTGGTCTGGATTGTGGATCGCCACAGACAAAGCCTTTGAGGAGTCTGGGAAGAGATGGAAGAAATCAGAACATGCACTTGAGACTTGGTATCTTCTACGTCTTGAAACAAGCCAAGGCCGGTCAAAGGACGGCTTCAATGAACAGCCCCTCCGGATGTATCTTCCGCCTCTTCCGCCTCTTCCGCCTCTTTCGTCGTTGCGGACCGTTTCGGCTCCTCGGCGGACTCTCACTCGGACTCTGTGACGCCCTCAGACTCTGTGACCCCCTCAGACTCTGTGACGCCCTCAGACCCTGTGGTCCCCTCAGACTCCGTAACCAAGGGCCACTCAGGACTAGTCATCGGCTCTTCGCCGTTGCGGTAGATGTAGACGACCTCGATTGTGAAGTCCTCCCACCGCCGCTTCAGCCAGTGCAGGGTGCGACACATTTCCTTCTCAAGCCGCCTCTCGCACTCTGGACAGAGTTCGTCCTCCTTCAGGACCTTCCGGAACGTCTTGTGGTCACGGCCACCACGCCATCCATCTTTCCGAATATGGCCGAAGTAGAGTGTGTGGCAACTGTATCTTACCATCTGAGGATAAGTGTACGCTGACATTGTGAGTTGTGGGATTCGATTCTCTTTCTACTGGACTCCTATGGTGATGCCGAGATAGTAGGTGAGGATCAAGCGGGCCCGGGAAGAATGAGATGAGCGAGTGGTTATTATTTATAGTGATTCGCCCGCAAAATGTGTTACAATCAGTATTCTGGTTGTTGTCTGCGCACTAGGGGGTTGTTCCATGGCCAAGCCTAAGAAAGGGAGCTCGGAGACTCGGAGTTCGCATGATACCTCCTGATGGATGTCAGTCAGGACATCCGTGTACAGGTACTTTGTTCTCCATCAATAGTGTGGAAACCGACAGAGTCAATTCGACTCCTTGCGGGATTGTTCGCCAACTCAGAAGCTCAGCGCGATGCTGTAATGCTGTGTCTCCGGGAATAGAGCTAATTAGTCCTCCAACGATGACAACACCCCCTTGATGCTGAGAGCCGACTGCCTCAACGCCTCCTGCTCCGACTCACTGAGAAGCAGCGGCACATCCTGGTACGCCCCGTGGCGGTTCAGCTTGCAGGGCATGCTGAGCGCCACATTCTCGACGCCGCCGTACGTGCCCACCCGCGACACCGTCACGATGGCGTCGCTGTCGGTGACGATCGGCTGCAGGATGCTGACCAGCACCGACGCGACGCCGTAGTTGGTCTTGCCCTTGCGCCGGATGATCTCGTACGCCGCCTCCTTGGTCCGCCGCGCGCACGCCTCGAGCGCGGCCTCGTCGTACGCGACCCCGGCCGCCTTGCAGTAGTCCGCGAGCCGCATCCCGGAGATGCTCGCGAGCGACCACACGGGCAGCTGGCTGTCGCCGTGCTCGCCGACGATGACGGCGTGCACGTTGCGCGGGTTCACCCCAAAGTGTTTCCCCAGCTCGTGCCGGAAGCGCGTGCTATCCATCGCCGTGCCGGACCCGATCACCCGCTCGAGCGGGAACCCGGACAGGTGGTGCGCCGCGTGGGTGAGCACATCGACGGGGTTGGTGGCCACGACGAGGATGGTGTCGGGCGCGTGGCGCGCGATGCGGGGCACCACGTCCCGGAACAGCGCGTAGTTGGTCTTGACGAGGTCGAGGCGCGTCTGGCCGGGCTTCTGGTTGACCCCCGCCGTGATGACGACGGCGGCGGCGGCGGCGCAGTCCTCGTAGTCGCCGACTCGCACGCGGGCCTGCGCAAAGTGCGCCGCGTGGCTCAGGTCCATGACTTCGCCCAGCGCGCGGTTCTGGTCGATGTCGATGAGCACGATGTCGGCGGCGAGCCCGTCGAGGAGCAGCGCGTAGGCCGTCGTGACGCCGACCGAGCCGGCGCCGACGATGACGATTTTGATGGACTGGATGGTCATTAGTACATGTTATGCTATGGGGGCTGGATTCTGTCACTAACGTTGACATTGGCTGCGTTGGGCTGCGGCATTTCAAAGATGTTTGTTGCGTTCAGGTTCTCGCTGCTGGCAATAGAGAAACGTGGGAGTGTTTGAGGCAGGAAAGAAATAATGCTGTCTGGTATTGAGGGGTGATATCGGACGAGGCTGTCTTGGCAACCCAACTTGGGCCGCGATATATTGGGACATTCGTATGTTATGCCCGAGACAGATCACTTTTGGTCACACATGTCAGCTTGAAAGGTCACTGACCCCCTTGGCGTGGTGCGGTGACGAGTGGCCTCATTGCGGACAACCAGACTCCGCGCTGCTCGATGCGTTGGTGTGTCACTGTGGCAGCTGTCGGGAGCTTGAGAATGAATCAAGGCAGAGAGCTTTTCAGCTCTTGAACCTGTGGCCACCGCCCGATGAATGCGGCGATGAATTGGTGGGATTCTTAGGAGGGAAAGATTGCTTCATTGACAAAGGTCCCCTCCAGCCTGGAGGCCATCACATCCTACTGGCAATGCTGGAGAATGAAACACAACAACGTAATACAGCCCTCTCCTCGGGAGGAAGAGGAGCACGTGCCCTGTGAACAAACTCGGAAGACTCCACAGCCCACAGAATCTGCCCACTTGTTCCGCTTCAAGCCCTGAACAGCGCCCACTTCCATTCACGCCTCATAAACTCTCTCCACACCCCCTGCCTTCAACAAATCAGCTTCTCTGGTCTCTTGGCCTAATGGTAAGGCGTTGCTTTCCGGTTCTGCAGACGAGAAATCGTTGCTCTGCTGCTTGGCAAAGATTCTGGGTTCGATCCCCAGGGAGATCGAATCTGCTTTTGCGTCCCCGGCCTTGGCCACAAGGGGCAACCGCCTTTTTGGCTAGAAGAACCAGAGTGGAAAGGGCTCCCAAAGGCACGATCTCCATCTTTTCACACTGAGTCAACCGCGCCAGGTCGTCGACTTGACACCTGCCTCGGTGCCCCTGCATCGCATATGCAGACGCGTTCCTCGCTTGAGGTTGCGGCTCAGTTGCAACCCCCCGACAACAGACGTCGACCGCATCGACGAGACCGCCGAATCGTCGATCACAGCGCAGCATCAGCCATACTGAACCTTGTCTCCGTCGGGGCGCATGCTTTCTTCCCCGTTTGGCGGAAAATCGAGGGCCCGGATGCAGGACCCCACACACGGTATCAACCATCAAGTCAAGAACTATGATCCAAGGAGCGAGGAAAAGCTCTCCGAGCAGACGGAATGTTATAAAACATGCATTCCCCCGGTCCTGCCAACCTGAGGCCACCACGGCTATACACCCACGTCATGATACATCTCGGCCCTTGCCTCCAACTCCCGGCCAAACCCGACGAGGCCAAGCAGTGTCCCCCTAACCAAACCACGCCGTTCATCTTCCTAGCCCCCATCCCAACTCTGGGCAATAGTCATTCCACTCCCCTTAGGAAACCGAAACTACACCAACCACCTGAACTCGTAGATGCACGTCTCGCCAAAGCCGCCAGCGTGCGTAGTAGGTAAGTCAAAACCCCTGCATTGAGACCACCCCCACATTAAGTCCACCCAAATGCTGCATGCATGCCCAACAACCCAACCACTTCAAATGGAGATATCTCTGTCGATTTACATAGTTACAACCTCTTACTTTGCAAGCACTTTTATCAATCCAAGATGGTCAAATATACCGAAGAACAGCTTTTCCAAGCCCTGCAACAGATCCACAACGGCCGATCAGTCCGCGCAGTTGCAAAGGAATGGGCCATCCCGAAGACCACCTTGATACAACGCCGTGACGGCGCCCAACCTCGCGCCGATGCGTGGGTGCATCTGCAGAGGCTTTCCAAAGACCAGGAGGACCGACTAACGGAATGGGTTCTCACGCAAGTGGCCCTCGCCTGCCCTCCTACACACGCGCAAATCAGGGAGCTTGCGCAACGGATATTGCTTGCCCGGGGAGACACCACAACCATCGGGAAACGCTGGTTGACGCGGTTTATGGATAGAAACCCGATCTTGAAGACACAGAGGGCCAGGGCAATAGAACATACACGCGTCAATGGCGCCACGATAGAGGTTATTCGGGGTTGGTTCCCACACCTGGCCATCCCGGCCATCAAGGCGATCAAACCCGCCAACAGGTGGAATATGGACGAAGCCGGCATCATGGAGGGCCTCGGGGTCAACGGCTTGGTGGTTGGGAGTAGGGAAAAGAAGGCCATCTTGAAAAAACAGCCCGGAACACGCGCCTGGACGTCCTTCATCGAATGTATCTCGGCCGCCGGCAAATACCTCCTCCCCCTAGTCATTTTCAAGGGCAAGAGCGTTCAACAGCAATGGTTTCCGTTGGATCTGAAGCCTTTCAAGGACTGGCAATTCACTGCAATAGAGAACGGATGGACCAACAACGCTGTGGCGGTGGAATAGCTGGAAAAGATCTTCATCCCAGAGACCCAGCTAGATGACCCTTCCGACTACCGTTTGTTGATACTTGACGGCCACGGTAGCCATACTAGCGACGACTTCATGTGGCTCTGCTTCTGGCATCGCATTCGGGTGGTTTATCTACCACCACACTGCTCCTACGTCCTCCAACCATTGGATCTTGGTGTCTTTTCATCCCTGAAGTCGGCCTACCGCAAATCCTTGTCAAACCTGGCCATCTGGAGCGACAGTACCATCGTTGGAAAGCGGAACTTCCTTGAGTATTACCGCAAGGCACGTTTGACGGCCATAGTGTGTCAGAATATCTTGTCGGGGTGGAAGGCAACGGGGTTGTGGCCGGTCAGTATCTCAAAACCCCTGATGAACCGGTTATTGATCGAGAACGCTGGCAAATTGACCTCCACGCCCGCAAAAGAGGGTTATCTTGATACCCCTGGTCTTCCTATTACCCCGTTTCCCGTTGGTTTGATACCAGGAGGACTGTGGGTGACCCCGACGAAGAGTGTTGAACTGCGATAACACTTGGACCAATTCCACCAGGGAAACCGGCCAACCCGCACCCATCGCCAGCTCTTCCAGAAGGTCAACAAGGCGTTTGACACGTTGGACTATAAGATAGCCCTCCTGCAGAAGGAAAACGAGGCTCTGAAAGCCCAGTTGGAGGCTGTCAAGCCCAGGAAAAGGAAGAGGGTAGATACAGACCCAAATTCACTGTTTGCCGGGATTGATGCCATCTACAGAGCGCAGGTTGCAGCCGGGGCGGTTGCGGCTGAGCCGGATGATACTTCTGAAGATGGCGAATCCAGCGATGCCGGCGAATGTATTGTAGTGGGTGGAAAAAGTAGAAATATTGACAATGGAAGTGGTGGTGGTTGACGGCCAGGATCAGCATTTGGGTGGACTTAATGTGGGGGTGGTCTCAATGCAGGGGTTTTGACTTAGTAGGAGTCGTTCTCCGTAACCGGCCCATCAACCCTCTCAGAAACCTCCACAATCCGGTCATGGTAATACATCCTGCGTTGTCGCCGCCGCGGCCTTCACCGCCGGTGGCGCCCACAAGACGCACTACCGCGTGGCCATGTCCTCCTAGTACGCCTTGTGCTAAATGGAGGGGCTACGGTCGTCGTGATCGTGTCGTGCTAGACCCGGTAGACGCTCATGCGCACGGTGAGGGCTGTGTGGATGTCCACACAGAGGAGGCCGGAAGGATGTATTGAAGCAGTCCGGCTGTGTTTATGACTACCGGCCCTTCTTCGGGCACCGGCTGAGACAAAGAGAGATCCATTGGGGCGTTGAACCTAACTGAATTGACGGATGCTAGGAAGTGCTTGATGTTGGAGTTGTGAGACAGCTCGACGATCGAGACGGCGGTTGCTAAGTCCCAAAATGATCTCAAAATATAACGATATATAGTGCTACTCTTGTTTATCCTTATCACGAAACTTTTGACATTTGTCCCTGATTTGAAAATCAGGGGAAAAGAAAGGCAATAAAGAAAAAGTAAAGAAATAAGAAAGAGAATGGAAAAGAAAACGGGAACAAAGACCAGGAAAAAGAAAAGGAAAGAGAATCGGAGAAAGAGAAGAATAAAAGAAACCTTTATTGGTTTTCATTCGGGCCGTTTTGCTACACTCCTCTAGCAGTATGGTATTCTGTGATATCACCGGCTCCATGTATCCTGAACAACTCCTCAATTCTATCATCTAAACTCTGACTTGGAGACACGGAGACTATTGGGTATCATAACCAGGCGTCCCTGAAGCAATACAACACCACACCCCGCTAAGCAAGCCAGAACCAAACCTTCTGCACAAAGTTCTTAGGCACCGGCGGGTAGTCGTTTGCGCAAAACTCATCCATCTCCTTCTTGCCCGTCAGCACATCGACCTCAAGCGGCCTCTTGGCCCACCCCCTCCGAGACCACATGGTCCCGGACCAGATCTTGTGGCCGAGGTACAGCGCCAAGAAGATGGGGATGGTGATATACGCGGCCAAAAAGTCCTGATAGTTCCACCGGCTCGGCACAAAGACCTGGAACCCGTTGGTGATGGTCAACAAGCAAATGACCACCAGCGTGGCCCACGCGGCGTACGGCTGGGCGACCGTCCTAAAGGGCAGCGTGTCCAGCAGGCCCTGGTAGGTCAGGGCCTTGCGGAAGCGCAGGTAGGTGACGAGGACGACGATCCAGGCGATGAAGCCCGAGATGGTCGAGATGTTCATGAACCAGAGGAAGACCTGGGCGCCGTTCTGCGAGACGTTGAGGTAGGCCAGCAGGCCGACGGCCCAGGTGGCGAGCACGGCGGCGTAGGGGACGCCGCGGCGGGTCGTGCGGGCGAAGACGGCCGGGGCCTGGCCCGTGGCGGCCATCGAGTAGAGGATGCGCGAGCCCGAGTAGAGGAAGGCGTTGCCCGCGGACCAGGCCGAGGTCAGGATGGCGGCGTTGATGACGTGGTTGAGGCCGGTGATGCCGGCGCGCTGCATGCCGATGACCCAGGGGCTGGCGTTGGCGTTGGACTCGGGCGAGAGCAGCTGCTTGTCGTTGGAGGGCACGATGGCGCCGATGATCAGGCTGCTGATGCCGTAGAAGAGGGCGAGGCGGGCGAGGAAGCGGCGCGCGGCCTTGGGGATGTTGCGGCGGGGGGCGACGGTCTCGCCGGCTGCGAGGCCGATCAGTTCGGGGGAGGTGATGAAGCTGAAGCCGGCGCGGACGAAGGCCGTCCAGTAGGCGGTGAATCGCCCTGTCGCGCCCGTCCCGACGTATTCTTTGAAGGCGCCGGGGTCGTTCCAGTAGCTGAATCCAACGGCGCCGCCTTCGGGCGTTCCACCGGCCATGATGACAATGCCCACGATGACCAGGCCGATGATGGTGATGAGCTTGATGCTGGCAAACCAGAACTCGGCTTCGCCAAAGACCTCGACGGCGATGATGTTGAGGGCGAGGCAGACAACCAGGATGATGGTAATCCACACTGCCGATGGAACTGGCGTTTTCCAGTAGTCGAGCAAGATGGCGCCTGCCGAGGCCTCGGCTGCCACTAGGATCGCATACGCGTACCAGTAATTCCACCCCGAGGCGAAGGCCAGGCTCGAGTCGACAAAGCGGTTGGTGAAGTAGGGCAAAGTGATGCCCTTCATGGGGAGGTATGTCGTCATCTCGGCAATGGCGTTCATGATGATCCAGACAACGAGCATCATGGAGAGATAGCCCAGCCACAGTGGTACCGGGCCGACCATGGCCAGGATGGCGCCAGATCCAACGAAAAGGCCTGTCCCGATGCTATTCCAGGATACGTCAGAGGTCACGGTCGAGGGAGGACGGTGATGGGGCCACTCACGCGCCACCCAGCGCCAGGAACTGGATGTGACGGCTTTT